AACTACAGGGGGGATACAAAGTAAATAAAGTGTAATTAATAAAAAAATATTATGTCCCCTCTGACATAATCTGATTGGCCTGCTCTTTGATCACCTCCCCCTGAGTGGGGAGCAGCCTTACCAGGCCACAGAAGAAGACAATGCAGCCATTCCTGATGTGATCTGATAGACTAAGATCAGAAGGAAGGAGATGAGGACCTCCCCTGTCAGTGGACTTGGAGAGGGGCATGCATGAAGAAAGTGGAGGGAGGATGGGATCGGGAGGGGAGAAGGGAGAGGCTTATGGGGGGGATACAAAATGAATAAAATGCAATTAATAAAATAAAATTTAATTTAAAAAAAGGAAAAGAAAAACAACCCTGGAAAAAATAAAAAAATAATAATAAAAAAGAAGTGAGTATATACTATATTTGTCTTTCTGCTTCTGGGTTACCTCACTAAGGATGATCCTTTCTAGTTCCATCCATTTGCCTGCAAATTGTTTCATGATTTCCTTGTTTTTAATTGCTGAGTAGTATTCCATTGTATAAATGTACCAAAGTTTCTGTATCCATTCCTCTGCTGAGGGGCATCTAAATTGTTTCCAGATTTTGGCAATTACAAATGAAGCTGCTGTGAACATAGTTGAGCAAATGTTGTTGCTGTATGGTTGAGCATCTTTCGGAAATATGCTTAGGAGTGATATAGCTGGATCTTGAGATAGCACTATTCCTAATTATCTGTGAAAGCGCCGGATTGATTTCCAAAGTGGTTGTACAAGGTTATATTCCCACCAACAAGGAGGGAGGCTTACGTTCCCACCAGCAATGGAGGAGGGTTCCCCTTTCTCCTCAACTTCTCCAGCATGTGTCATCCCTTGAGTTTTTTATCTTAGCCATTCTGGTGTGTGTATAGAATAAACATACTAAAATCTATAGTCCTAAAGAAGTTAAACAACCAGGAGTACCCTAGGGTAGTAGCTGAAACCTCATTCAGAAGGGCAAACAGGATAGACATAGAAAGTAGAAGACAGAGAACAGGACAGGAGCCATCCAAAGGGGGCCTTTGAAAGACTCTACCCATCAAGATATTGAAGAAGATACTAAGACACATATCCGAACTTTGGGAAGAGTGCAGGGAACCTTATGGAAGAAGAGGGGGATAGAAAGACCTAGAGGGGACAGGAGTTCTGCAAGGAGACTAACAGAGCCAACAAACCTGGGCCCAGCGAACCCTGCAAAGACTGATAATCTAACCAAGGACCATGCATGGAGAGGACCTAGACCCTCCATTCAAATGAAGCCCATAGCCAGTTCAGTCTTCAAGTGGGTTCTATAGAAAGGGGGAGCAGGGTCTGTCTCTGGCATGAACTCAGTGGCTGGCTCTTTGATCACCTCTCCCTGTGGAGTTCAGCCTTTCCAGGCCACAGAAGAAGATGATGCAGCCAGCTCTGATGAGACCTGATGTGCTAGGATCAGACAGAAGGGGAGGAGGTCCTCCCCTATCAGTGGATTAGGGAAGGGGCATAGGGGGAGAAGAAAAGGGTGGGTGAGACTGGGAGGAGATGATGAGGGGCCTACAGCCAGGATACAAAGTGAATAAGTTGTAATTAATAAACAGAAAGATAGAAAGAAAGAAAGAAAGAAAGAAAGAAAGAAAGAAAGAAAGAAAGAAAGAAAGAAAGAAAGAAAGAAATAAATTCAAAAGTAAGTAAACATTACTTACCTTGGAACAAAAACAGAATGTGTGCCTCACGTATTGGTGAATATGTCAGCATGGCTGTTTACACATACAAGCTATTAATAGTGGTGGTCTCTGGGGAGTAGGATAGGAGGGGTTTTTACATGTTACTGACACACTTTGATCTCATTGAAAACAGCATTATTATAATTCATTTTTATTTTTCCTTTTATTGAAAATGGATTTTCCCTCAGATAATATATTTTGATTACAGTTAATCTTCCCCATACTCCTCCCAGTTCTTCCCCACCTTCCTTCTACTCCAGATCCAACACCTCCTTTCTGTATCTCATTTGAAAATAAGTAGGCTTCTAAGTGAATATGCTATAATGCAATATGATGATAAGATAAAACAAAAACTAATGCAGTGGAATAAGATAAAAGAAACAGATGAAAAGGAGCCCAAGAAAAGCCACACAAACAGCTGTAAACAGGATGTCTCCATCAAATCCCTCCCTTCAGAGCTCAGAAAACCTGGTGGAAGAGGGGGCAAAAAATAGTATAAGAATCAGAAGAGATGGAGGTCACCAAGGAAACAAAGCCCTCTAAAGCAACAGGATCATTACACATATGAACTCACAGAGATTGAGACCGCATGCCCAGCCTCTGAACAAATCTGCACCAGATGGGGTCCTAGAGCTGAAAGCAAATGTGGACACATGTCCCCATCCTTACCTAGAAGCTGTGTCCAACTGATAGCCATTAACAAATGAAGAGTCTCGCTAGGAAAACAAACTACCTTCAAGGGCATTCTGCATCCCCAGCAGTAGATGTCAACAGAAGACAAACTCAGTGTCAGCTTTGAAAGTTCTTTACCTCATAATGACCTGTCAGAACTTTTAAAACATCGTTTTATCTTACTTTTATTTTTTTTAAATTTCTATATGTAAATATATAAATTAAATATATATTAATATATTTCTCTCTTTTTTTACCCTACAGTTACTTTGTGTATATAGTATGGTTTTAAGTTTAGTGTCTTCATGAGATTCCTGAATGGTTCTCTATGTCTATAATTCATTTTCAAAAGGGTTTTAAAAATCAAAACAGCCACAGGATATCAGTATGAATCATTTCTCTGCAACTGACTTTTTGGTCATGAAGTAAGTAAGTTCTTAATAACTAGTCATATTTATTGCATCTTTCTATTAATATAAAGCTATTTTAAGACAAATTAACACTTCTCTTGGAGTTTGAGTTTCTAAACGGGGTAGAGAATAAACTTTTAAAACAGAAAACTGCAGGATGAAATAAGCAATGAACAGAACATTAAAATTCATTGTGCTCTCAGCATGTGTTCTTTGATTATAATGAGAAAACCATTTTTCTAAAGGAGAGCTGCCTAACAACATTGAGTGTGTCTTTGTAGAAAGCTAGTGAAATAAAGATCCATCAAGATGAAAGTGTGTTAACAAATCCCCTATCTGTTACTCCATGATCCAGAGAAGTAGAAAGCGAGTTTGCTGTTCTAAGCAGGCCACGCGTAGGTGTGCCACTCTAGGAAAAAGTGTCTCACTCCAGGTTTCCTCCTGGCCACCTCCACACCTGTGCATACAGCTAGCTCTGTCCCTCTTGTCTGTACTTAATCTGTCACCTTTCCAGCCTTCTCATTTCTGTTCTTACCCTGAGATAATCCAACTTTTCTGTTGGCCTTGGGTTCTGCAACAGCACACACCTCCCTTCCATCCTCTGAAACCCCTAAGTAGCCCTCTTTTTCACAGGAAAGCATTAAACCTGTGCTTTCTAAGTTTTCTTTTAATTTTTAATTACATTTATCTGCCTGTATATGTCTGTACCGGTTGGGGTTCTAAAGCTGAAAGGAGAAGTGGGCACATGCATCCATCCCTAACCCAGAAGCAATCTACATTTGATATCCACTTGCAAATGAAACAAGATTTTAACAGACAATTACAAAAGAAAGAGCAAGCTATTTTGGTAGTAATGGAACTTCAACTCTATAGTTAGCTTTTATTAAGCTCATACTATACGCAAAGCATTGTATAGCCAGGCATGGTGACGCACGCCTTTGATTCCAGCACTCAGAAGGCGTAGGCAGGTGGATCTCTGTGAGTTCAAGGCTAGCCTGGTCTACAAACTAAGTCCAGAACAGCCAGAGCTGATACACAGAGAAACCCTGCCCCCCCCAAAAAAACCCACTGTATTACCTCACATGCCTTAGTTCTTGAGACAACCACAACACTGCTATGAGGTAGATACCTTATTTTACAGGTGAAAGAATCGATACAGAATTTAATAATGTAAGAAAAGGTGTGTGTGTGTGTGTGTGTGTGTGTGTGTGTGTGTGCGCACACACACACACACCAAGGACAACTTATAGGGGTCAGTTCTTCTAACTTGTGAGCCCCAGGTTTCAGACTCAGGTAATCAGATTTAATAGCAATTGCCTTTACCCATCTCCCAAACTCCAACCAAAATTTTCTTTTTAATTTCTCTATTTTCTTTTTTATTAGTCTTTATTTATTCCTTATCATTTTCAAAACATTATTTTGCAGCTCTGGGAATTGAACCCAGGCTTTGAACATACTAGGCAAGTGTCCTACAATTTATATCTATAGTTCAGCAAACTCTTCCTTAAAATCATATGACTCTGATAGCTGCTCTGGCCAAAGTGGAAGCGGAGACAGGAGCTCTATCTGAGTAGCCTTCTGGTACCCTGAAGGATCACCTGAGCTTTGAGAAACCAGCTGCAAATCACCGCCTAATAGTTTTCCTTATTGGATCTGAGAGGTACACCCATTGTCAGATGTAGCAAGTAAAAATACTGCATGTTCACTTAAATTAGAACTTTATATAAAGCCAAGCATGGTGTTATACACCTTTAACCCCAGCCTTCTGAAGGCCAAGAGGCAGATGAGGAGACCCTGTCTCAAAATAAAACAAACAAAACAAAAAACCACGAAACTTTACAAGGATGTTTTTGTATACTTACGCATATAATTGGAGTGTATATCTATCAAAAAGACTCATCATTTACCTGAAATTCAAATTTCAATGAGCATCCTGCATTCCTCTCCCCCACTCCTGGTAAACCTATTCCCAGAAGAAATCAAAGCATTGGGTCGGGAAGAACCAGAAATGAAAGATTTTAACAAACGACAACAAACAATAGCCAGGCCTGGTGACACATGCCTATAATCTCAGCTGTTTGGGAGGTTGAGGCAGAGGGATTACAAGAGCTAGGCCATTATGGACCACATAGTAAAAATACATCTTTAAAAGAAAAAAAAAATGACATCTCCACATCACAGTACAATACTCACCCCAAGAATTTCTCTCGTGTAATAGTATTTGTCAGACTTCTCATAATTCAGAAAGGCATACACAAACAGAAAAATGTTCAGCCCCAACCAAGAAACCTAGAAGAAAAAACAAACAGGGAATATGGAAGAATTGGGAAAGGTGTATTGAAAATATAGGAAATAATATGGACATCTTGAGCATTTTGTGTTCATCTATTTTCACTCTGAATTAATACAACCACACCAGTATCTAATGTCCTTTCATTTCAGAGTAAACAAACTCATACAGTAGATGCTAATGAGCAGGATCAGCAAGTTGAGGCCCATGGCCTACATCTGGTTCATCACCAGTTTTCTATGTCTTAAAAACTAAGTGTTTGCATTTTTCCCTTTAAATGATGGAAAACATCAAAGAATAATGTGTCATGACATAAAAATTATATGAAACTCAAATGTCATCGACTATATACAAAGTGAGGTTGGAAGGTCAATTCTTATCTATAATTGCTTATGGATGGTTCATCATTCTGTGGTGAAGTTGAGTAGCTGGAACAAAAACCAAATAGCTTGCAAAAGCTTAAAATACGTAGCTTGACTTCTTTAAAAACGTTTGCCAATTCCCTGACAGACTGGAGCTTTCAAACTATTGCACCTAAAAGATGGCACTAAGTAAACATATGAATTTTTGAAGAAACAAAGAATAAATTTAGCATCTTTAAGAAATGCCCACTGGAAAAAAGACTAAACCATTCCCAGATGAGCCTGCGTCTTTAATTACACACGGACATATATTTTCCTGCTTTTAGGTTGTGAAACTTTTTGCAAATTAATCTATTGTTTTGGACTTTGGGAGCTGTGAGGATTAGGTGTGCCTGTCCAAACCTCTTCACAGTGGCTAAGGGGACAATCTGGGACACACTGTGTGTTGCCATGGAGATGAACCAACAGAGCTCTACTCCAAATTTGGAGGTGCTAGTCTGCAAAGTAGCAGATCTCTGTAGAACTGGGATGTTTTTTTATATACCCCTGACCCCAAATCACTAAGAATCCTTTCAGCCCACAGGTAAAGGTATTAACCTGGTGTGTGGCCCATTCATATTCCTTAGATACAGACCACTCATAGACCTGTTGCAGTACAGTAAAGCGGTTCTAAGTGTAATGTTAGAGTCAGACACCTGAGACTCAAATTCTAGTGCCATCACTTAGTAGTTCTGTATCCTTAGATATGTGATTTAAATTCTTGGATCAGTTCTTTCACCTGGAAAATGAGGTGTTTACCTCATAGTAGTGTTGTATGACTTGCTAACTGGATATCTAGATGTAGAAAAATGTAAATAGATCCATACTTATCACCCGGCACAAAATTAAATTCTAAATAGATCAAAGGTCTCAATATAAAACCAGACACACTGAACCTGTTAGAAGAAAAAGTGGGGAAGAGCCTTGAGCTCATTGGCACAGGAGGCAACTTCCTGAACAGAACACCAATAGCACAGGCTCTAAGATCAACAATCAATAAATGGGACCTCATGAAACTGAAAAGCTTCTCTGTAGAGCAAAGGACACTGTCATCAGAACAAAGGGACAGCCTACAGATTGGGAAAGGATCTTCACTAACCCTATATATGACAGAGGGCTAATATCCAGAATATATAAAGAACTCAAGAAGTTAAACAGCAACAAGTAATCCAATTTTAAAAAATGGGATATAGAGCTAAACAGATAATTCTCAATTAAGGAATACCGAATGGCAGAGAAACACTTAAAGAAATGCTTAACATCCTTAGGTATCGGGAAAATGCAAATCAAAACGACCCTGAATTTTCACTTTCCACCCAGCAGAATGGCTAATCAAAAACTTAAGTGACAACATATGCTGGAGAGGATGTGGAGAAAAGGGAACCCTCCTCCATTGCTGGTGGGAATGTAAACTTGTACAACCACTTTGGAAATCAATCTGGCTCTTTCTCAGACAATTAGGAATAGTGCTACCTCAAGATCCAGCTATACCACTCCTAGGCATATATACAAAAGATGCTCAACTATACAATCAGGACATTTTCACAGCCATGTTCATAACAGCTTTACTTGTAATAGCCAGAATCTGGAAACAATCCAGATGCCCCTCAGTTGAGGAATGGATACAGAAATTGTGGTACATCTACACAATGGAATCCTGCTCAACAATTAAAAACAAGGAAATCATGAAATTTGTATGCAAATAGTGGCAACTAGAAAAGATCATCCTGAGTGTGGTATCCCAGAAGCAGAAAGACACACATGGTATATACTCACTTATAAGTGGATATTAGACATATAATACAATACAATCATACTAAAATCAGTATACCTAAATAAGTTAATCAACAAGGACCCTTGGTAAGATGCTCAATCCTCATTCAGAAAGGCAAATGGTATGGACATCGGAAGAGGCAGAAAACAGGGAACAGGACAGGAGCTTACCACAGAGGGACTCTGAAAGACTCTACCCTGCAGGGTATCATAGTAAATGCTGAGACTCATAGCCAAACCTTGGGCAGAGTGCAGGGAATCTTGTGAAAGAAGGAGGAGATAGATAGACCTGGAGGAAACAGGAACTTCACATGGAGAGAAAAAAAATGTGAGCACAAGGATCTTTTCTGAGACTGATACTCCAACCAAAGGCCCTTCATGGAGATAACCTAGAACCACTGCACAGATGTATCTCATGCCAGTTCAGTGTCCATGTGGGTTCCATAGTAATGGGAACAGGGATTGTCTCTCACATGAACTGATTGGTCTGCTCTTTGATCACCTCCCCTGATGGAGGAGCAACCTTACCAGGACACAGAGGAAAACAATGCAGCCAGTCCTGATGAGACCTGATAGATTTGGATCAGAAGGAAGCAGAGAAATACCTCCCCTAACACTGGCCTGGGGGATGGGCATAGGTGGAGAAGGGGGAGGGAGGATGGGATTCGGAGGGGAAGAGAGAGGGAGCTACAGGAGGATACAAAGTGAATAAACTGTAATTAATAAAAATAAAAATGTAAAAAAACTAATGCTTCAGAACAGAAAAAAAAACAAAACAAAAAAATAAATAATTTTTTAAAAAAATTAAAAAAAAAAACTAATGCATGCTAACTAATACAATGCTTTGCGTATAGTAGGAGCTTAATAAATGCTAATACAAGGTTTAAGTTCCATTACTACCAAAATCTCTCTCTCTTTCTCTTTCTCTCCTTTCTTTCTTCTTTTGTCTTTTGCTCCCCCTTGCTCTCTTCTTTCCTTCTCTTCTTTTATGTTTGTGCGAGATGTGGTCTCATTGCAGCTGGTTTTGCCCAAGCTAGTCTTGAGCTGCCTAGGCTTAGACTATCCTTTCAGCTCAGTCTCCCAAGAAGCTGGGACAATAGGAATGACATCCATTCAACTCCTTCCTGACTCCTTTGCCCAGAATCCTTTTTCAGAGTTGAATGTCTTTTAGAGACTCTTTGATGTCAATGGAAAAGGAAAATTGAAATCCACAGCTATTTCAAGAATAATTAAAGAATAAGAGATTATGAATTTGATGAGTGCAGGGTGTATGGGAGGAGCTGGAGGGAGGAGAGGGAAATGATATAAATACAATATTTTGGGGTTTTTTTTCCATTTCTTTCTTTCTTTAATCACTTTAAAGCCTAATCCTAGACCCCTCCTTCCTCCCTTCTACTCTGATTCCCTCCTATTCCCATACTCCACCCTCTCCTTCTCAGAGAAGGGGAGGAAAAAAAGGGGGTGCCAAAATGCCCTAGTGCCTCAAGTCACAGCAGGATCAAGGGCATCTGCTAGCAGTGAGGATAGAAGAAGCATCCCAACTAGGGGGAAAGGGCTCCAAAGGCAGACAACAGTGTCAGAGACAGTCCCTACTGAAATTTTCTAATGAGGAAAATGAATTTGGTGAACAGAAAGAAAAGCCCATTTGGGGGGGATCAGAAATATTTCAGGATGTAAAATGGACACAGGAACACAAAACTATATATCAGCCTATTGTCACCTGTAGGCAAGGTAAGTGAAATGCAGAAACATCTAGGAGTCACTGTGGATGAAAAAGAACGTGAAGTGTAAGACCTGGGAAGAAAAAGAAGTCAACATATTTTTTAGTAATTTATTATTTAAAAATAGTACATAGGAGTACATGCCAGAAATAGTAAGAAGTTGAGCCTGCCAGCAGGGCTGAGGAAGACAGGGTGGAAAATAGAAGCCAGAGAGTTAAATATGACTCATCCGTGTAAGTGATGAATCTCCCTAACCAAAAAAAACAATAAAGGGGTAATGGCGGGAGTGGCTTTTAGAGCACCAAATAGCCTTTTTCCAAAGCTAATCAGTTCACTTAGTCACCCATTTTCCCACTAGCTAATCTATCACCACCCACAGTATATTGGACCTGAAGACTGGAAAGAATAAATATTTGGTCAAGGTCATCCAGTAGCAGAACTGAAAGTACTTGCCAGATTTCCTGCCTCCTAAGCTAATGATCTCTCAGTTATAGTGCAGAAGGAACTAAACCAGACACTGAGTATTAAAAATATAAATCAGATAGCCTGATTAAAACAAGCTCTTTGCTTTTCATTAAATGTTAAATAAAAATCCTTCCAAGGGCACTGCTTACTTTTCTTCTGTGGCACCTGAAAAGTCTTATAGGATTTGAAAAAAAAAAAAAAGCAATAGAAACAAAGCAAGAGCCCCAGGAAAGAAATAAAATACTAGAAGAGCATGGAAGGACATGGAAGCCTCATACTTAGGTGTGACTCACAAATGTAGGAAGAATGATACAAGAAAATGGGTGATGGTGTGTGTGCGTGTGCGTGTGGGTTTAGAAAAGGATTTTATGTAAGTGAAATGGTGAACTAGTTCTGGTGTCAGTACCAGTGAACTGGGTTTGAGTCAGTTTTCCAAATCATTGTGTGTCGTCTGGATTGATTTCCTTCATAAGACTCAGGAGATTGTTTTATATGTGCTCTGTGTAATGCAATAGGTAACTATCAGCGTAAAGTTACGAAACACTTGACATGTGGTTAATTTTGATTGACATGTGCTATGCATCTAAAATACATATGATCATCCAAAGACCTAGAAACAATCAAACAATAGAAATTATATTGATATTGTCTATATTGGTAGCATACTGAAGGAATATCTATGAATTACATTGCTCAGATTTCATGTTTCTTTTCATTCTCTTCATTACAAGTATGAGATAATTTAGAAATTCTGCAAGTGACTCACATTTCTATTTTTATTGAGCATTTCTGGGTCAAGATGCACTCAAAGATCACTTTCATCCCAACCATTCAATTATTTTATGAAATCTTGACGGCAGCAATATAGGGAAGATAGAGAGAAATGAAGGCTCAATGTCAATAGTTTGTAAATAAGACAGAAGAGAAAAGAGGAAAAAGAATGAAAACAGGTTTCAACTGCAAGTCCTCATGGTTTGGCGACATGAACAACTGCAAATCATTTGGCTTTGTTCTCTCATCTGGCCTGGAGGTGTTTTTTGTTTTGTTTTGTTTTTTTCTAAATGATAACTAGTTTTGTTAAATGAAAATAATTGCTATAGTCACTTTCTCTTTTGAATAACTCCACAAATATTAACGAACATTATGTCTTCTCACCCTAATATTCATAATTAATAGGAAATGAAATACCACTTACCAGAAACAAAACTGAGAGCCAGTGGTTAACCAGCCAGTTTCCCATTGTCAAGTGGAGGTTTGGAGCCTCCCTAGGAGCAATCTGGATTCTGGAAAGATCCTTCACGATACAGAATTCTGTCCAGCTCAAGATCTATGAATCTTTATGATGCCAAAATACACACCTACTCACAAAGCTTCTAAAAATGAATAAGTGTATTCTGCCTTTCTCCTCTATACGGAACTGTGTTATCAGCTTAGGTAGACAAGCCCTGCCTATGACAACCACAGGGGTTTTCCCTGTGGAGGTTTTCACCCATTCAGGAAATATCAGTCTTCTTGTGTCAAAACAGTCTCTATGATTATCTTAACAATGTGATTTCATAAAGCTCCACTTTCCTTGATAAGACACTTGTTTAAGTTTTTCATGAGAAACATAATTAGGCTGAGACTATACACAGTTCAACTTTAAGAGAAGTAGAAGGGGAAGCATTGTTTTAAGGAAGTTTCTTTTCTTTTCTTTCTTTTTTTTTTTTTTTTTTTTTTTTTTTTTTTTTTTTTTTTTTTTTTTTAGACTAGGTCTCATGTAGCCAAGCTGACCTTAATCATGCTGTGGCTGAGGATGACTTTGGGCTTCTGATCTTCTTTCCTCCTGGGATTATAAGGGTGCACCCCCATACCTACTTTATGCAATAATGGAAGGCAAAAACAGGACTTCGTCCACATTAGGCAAGTACTCTACAAAACTGAGTTACCATTCCCAAACCAAGGAAGATTTTTGGAGCTGAGCCTTCAGAATATCATATCTATCACTGCTATCATAATAACAGTGGCCATCTAGACCACAGTTTGGCTAACTCAGAAATTTCACTGGACCAGTTTCTCTGCAGGACATTTCCTGACTAATGGGTATGATAAGTATGCTAATGAGAGTTTCATTGGCTGGAAGGACCAGCCTTATTTTGGAAAAAAAAAAAAAGTAGCGCTTTCATGACTAGGGGAGTGATTATTCTCTACTATGGTAGGTGAGTTCTGGGCATTGAAATTTTTCCTTTCCTAAAATATTGAGATACACACATAAGAGTACACAGAGCATATATATGTAAATTACAGAGTACTTATAAGGAGTTAATATCTAAATTCTGACTTCCTGGTTTAAAAAAAAAACAGAACAATTGTTTCCAGTATCTTAAAGCTACTGCAGTGTTCCTGTTTATCATATCTCTTTTCTTTCCTTCACCACATGCAACCTAAAATTTGAGGCAATATTTCCATCTTTTCTTTATCTTTTTCATAGCTATAGGCACACAACTAACAAACCCTTCAGTTATTTTATTCTGATTTTTCTTATTTGATTTTTTTGTGAAAGAATTACCGCTGTATTCATGCATTGCATGCTTCCATGTTTTGCTTTCTTCAACAGCTTTTCTTTGGAGAATCACACATGCTGGTATATGTAGTTGCATTGAATGGATCCATTTGTTCATTCTACTATGGATGGAGTAATGATGAGATAGAATTAATGAAGTGCCACAAATATGCCACATTTTGTTCAAAGTTTATACCTGGGAGTGGAATTCCTGACTCCTATAATTCACAAATGCTTTTCACAGCCAAGCTGCTCTAAAGTACTCACATAGCTGACTGTTCCAATGAGCTCTGCAGAAGACTTCCACTTCCGCCATGTGAACGTTTAAGGCTTTTAATTCTAATGGGATTTCTATATTTAGTTTTGCTATAAAATATAATCTAATTACATTCCTTCCTCTAATTCTTTCCTTTGTGATTTCTGTATCTCTGCTTTTTCTTGACTTACTTCACTCACTATAAATTCAAGGAAAATGTTGAAGAATGGAAGAATTTTTGAAGATTTATTTATTTGTGTATATAAGCACTCTATTTGCATGTATACCTGCATGTCAGAAGAGAGCATCAGACAGATGAGGGCATCAGATGCTATTACAGATAATTGTGAGCCACCATGTGGTTGCTGGGAAATGCACTCAGGACCTCTGGATGAGCAGTCCAGAGGTCTGCTGAGCCATCCCTCCGGTCTTGTAAATTAAGCATCTTTTATTTCAACTGTTAGCACTTGCATTTTCACTTTTGATAAGTGTCTACTCTAGTTTGTAGATTTTTTTAATCTATATTCCAATTAACTTATTTTCCCTTGCTTATACATTTTTAGGATTAATTGTAGTTGCAGCTTACATTTTCCTAGTCTTATTATTTTAATGTGAATGATATGTGCATATGTTCAAGTGTGAATACCCATGTATGTGGAAGAGGCCAGAGGTCAATGTCAAGTGTTCTTCTGTCATTCTATTCAATTCTCTCTTGCAATTGCCTTAATTGCTATGGTTTTCTAAGTCTTATGTGATGGGGTGCATTTTTGCACTTGTTCAAAAGTGTGGCTATTCTTGTCCTTTTGAAATTTTATACAAATTTTATTGCTAAGTTGTTTGTACTTTCATAGGAATATAAATTATAAATATAAATATAAATGTTTAAATTGTGGCCATTACATGAAGATACAACTGGTTTTTACATATTGAATGTTGTATTAAACATTACTAGATTTGTTCATAAAGTTATTTTATCATTCTTTTATGTGTAAAAGTGCTTTGCCTGCCTCCATGTCTGTGTATCACATCTGTGACTCGTGCCTATGGAGGTAAAAGAGGAGTTCAGATTTCCTGGAATTGGAGTTATGGATGCTTGTGAGCTACCATGTGAATGCTGGGAACTGAACCCAAATTCTATATAACAGCACAAGTACTCTTAACCACTTCAACCCTCACTTCGAAATTCTGGATGCAGAAATTGTGGTACATCTATACAATGGAATATTACTCAGCAATGAAAAATAAGGAAATCATGAAATTTGCAGGTAAATAGTGGGACCTGGAAAGGACCATCCTGAGTGAGTTGTCCCAAAAGCAAAAAGACACACATGGTATATACTCACTCATATAGACATACAACATAGGACAAACCCACTAAAATCTGTGTATCTAAAGAAACTAAGAAAGAGAGAGGACCCTAACTAAAATGTTCAATCTCCATCCTGAAAGGCAAAGAGGATGGACATCAGAAGAAGAAGAAAACAGGAAACAACCTAGGAACCTGCTACAGAGGGCCTCTGAAAGCCAGAAGAAGAAAACAGGAAACAAACTAGGAACCTACCACAGAGGGCCTCTGAAAGCCTCTGCCCTGCAGACTATCAAAGCAGATGCTGAGCCTGATGGCCAACTGTCGGGCAGAGTGAATGGAATTTTATGTAAGAAGTAGGAAATAGTAAGAGCTGGAGAGGACAGGAACTCCACAAGGAGAGCAACAGAACAAGAAAATTTGAACACAGGGAACTTCCCAGAGACTCATACTCCAACCAAGGACTATTCATGGAGATAACCTAGAACCCCTGCACAGATGTAGCCCATGGCAGTTCAGTGTCCAAGTGGGTTACCTAGTAATGGGAAGAGGGACTGCCTCTGACATAATCTGATTGGGCTGCTCTTTGATCACCTCCCCGTAAGGGGGGGAGCAGCCTTACCAGGCCATAGAGGAGGACAATGCAGCCACTTGTGATGAGAACTGATAGACTAACATCAGAAAGGAGAGGAGAACCTCCCTTATCAGTGGACTTGGGGAGGGGCATGCATGCAGAAAGGGGAGAAAGGGTGGGATCGGGAGGGGAGGAGGGAGGGGCTTATGGGGGGATACAAAATGAATGAAGTGTAATTAATAAAAAATTTTAAAAGTTAAAAAAATTCTAATGGGATTTCTATACTTAGTTTTGCTATAAAATATAATCTAATTACATTCCTTCCTCTAATTATTTCTTTTGTGATTTCTGTATCTCTGCTTTTTCTTGACTTACTTCATTCACTATAAATTCAAGGAAAATGTTGAACAATGGAAGTATTTGTGTCTATTTTACTAAATTAAAATCACAAAGGGAATTCATTTTTTTTAAATTTTAAGTAATATCTTTTGTGTGAGTTTAATAGACATCCAGATACATATCCTTGTCCTATTTTACATTATGCACAAACAACACTATTAATTTAAAAGAAGAAAAGAAACCATAGCATGTTTTAACAGTTTTGTTAATGAATAATTTTGTATGCCATAAAAGTTTTTACTCATTATAAGAACATAGCTCAACACACAGCACACTTTATGTTTGTTTTTAAACCTGGAAATCCGTTCAACACCACTAAACCCATAAAAGTAACATTTTCATTAGCTGGATAACACACCTGAACCTTAGTGTTATGCAATACAGAGTGAAATGGAACGGCAGTACTTAGGTAAATAATTCTTACACTAAGGCATCTAGAAATCAGTGAATTTTACACAGAAGTGTGCAAGAACGCACACAATTCATACTGTCCTTAACCAAATATAAATATATCACAGATCCAACATCCCTGTTGTTGTATCCCAGATACACTCATGAGCACTTCAGGTTCATTCAATGTGAAAGGAAGCATGCACAGAGAAAAGTTGAAGTGGAGTGTTGTTTTAATGACTCACCACAAAATGACTTAATTTTGGAAGTTGTACAGAACATTGGAGAAGCCAAAGACCACATCTTAAAAGAGGAAGCCCAAGTCAATGTGTGGGAGGGTGACCAGAATTCAAGACATCCTGTATTAGGAGGAGTTAAGAACTTTAGAAAATGAGTCTTTGAAAGGATATTTGTTATGGATAGGAGTATATGTATAATTCACTCCTGGATTTAGATTGGTACATGTTTGGACATAAGAATAAAGACTCCAAAAACAGCACATTTTGTTTCAATTTAAAGCAAATTTTTGAATTCTGGTATTCAAAGAAGTGAAGAGGTAATACCTTCTTTCTTACTTAAGATGCCTGATGAAGGTCGGACAATTCTTTACCAATTATCTTGTGCAAAAATATCAGAATTGGATGGACTATAAATTAAATATGTTTCAAATATCCAGAAATAAGTACATAGATCTTTAATCATCCTAAACCCAGATGCTGAGACACTGGTATAAGAACACAATAACAGCCAGGACAATATGTCTCCACTATAGCTGAGCTATTCTAACACAGCAGGACCTGAATATTCTAACA